GAGAAGGTCAGGTGAACTTCTCCACACACACAGAAGGTGTGGTGGGGCAGGGCCAGGCTAGTCCCTCGCGTCTCCACGTCTAGACGACACAGCGGGCTCCTCGCCGCCAAACTAGCTGTGAACAGCGTCTCTACACACCTCTAGCTGTGAACAAGTGTGCCGCACCTTCTCGCCGCCAAACTAGCTGTGAACAGCGTCTCTTCACACCTCTAGCTGTGAACAGGTGTGCCGCACCTCCTCGCCGCCAAACTAGCTGTGAACAGCGTCTCTTCACACACCTAGCTGTGAACAGGTGTGCCGCACCTCCTCGCCGCCAAAGACCCACGAGAGGAACTGGGCGCCTAGATCTCGCGTCATCTCGCGTCATCTCGCGTCATCTCGCGTCATCTCGCGTCATCTCGTCCGCGAATCGCAGAGAGGGACTGCGCGCAGTAGACGCCCGTCTCGGCGAGGGCGGAGCAGGAGCCGGCGCCTAACCTCGGGGATACTCTCGGGTATCATCTCGGGTCTAGTCTCGGCGAGGGCGGAGCAGGAGCCGGCGCCGTCGTTCTGGCAAAAGGAGACGTGGGCAGACGTCACGTCTCCGATGGCGCCTGACGACGGGGCTCGGAGGAGTCTCGGAGGTGTGTCGGAGGAGTCTCGGAGGAGTGTCGGAGGTGTCTCGGAGGTGTGTCGGAGGTGTGTCGGAGTTGTGTCGGAGGTGTGTCGGAGGTGTCTCGGAGGAGTGTCGGAGGAGTGTGTCGGAGGTGTGTCGGAGGTATGTCGGAATTGGCTCGGGAGCGTCTAGGAGGGCGCCGGAGGAGAGCAGCTCGCGCAGCGCCCGCATCGCCGGGAAGAAGCGGCTCCACACGCCGTGCAGGAAGAAGAGCCCGCGCTCCCGCGCGAGCGCGAGCACCTCCGCCGCCTCTGCCGCCGTCGGCGCCATGCTCTTCTCGCAGAGAACCGCCTTGCCCGCACGCAGGCAGAGCAGCGAGTCGGAGACGTGGCGCGTCGACGGCGTCGCGACGTACACCACGTCGACGGCGGGGTCGGCAACCAGCGCCTCGTACGAGCCGTGCGCACACGCGCCCACTAGCCCGAGCTCCGCCGCAAACGCCGCCGCGCGATCCCCGCTCCGCGAGCCAACGGCGACGACTTCGGCGTCGCCTCGCATGGAGGTGAGGACGCGGCCAAAGTCGGAGGCGATGCTGCCCGTGCCGAGAATGCCCCAGCGGACCGGACGCCGCTCCTCTGCCACAACAGACACGAGAAAGAGCGCGAACATGGACAGTCCGATTAATAAAATGAACTCGAGGGCACGGGACGCGGCACAAACGGGGCACAAACGCCAGGCTACAAAGACGGGGAGGCACGTAGTGACGCAGGGGAGTCTAGGCGACGGCGGCGTCCTCCGACGCCGCGGCGAGCCTGAGCTCGGTCGCAATCTCTTCCGCCGCCGCGAGCTGCAGCGCGACTGACATGCGCTGGGCCTGCAGCGACAGCCACGACCGCGTCGACCAGCTCGCCTCGTCCTCGTGCTGCCGCTTCGAGAGCTTGTTGCGCACCTTGTCCTTCATCTGGTAGAACAGCCGTTTGACCGCGTTGCACCACCCGCCGAAGGTTTCGAACAGGTACATCTGCACGTCGGTGTCCGAGCGCGAGAGGGCGTGCGCGTAGTCCGCCTTCTTGGACAGTCCGAAAAACGAATTTACGCAGTTTGATGGAAAAAGAGGGGGATGAAGGTTGCAGCGAGAAGCGGCGAGAGACTGCGAAAAGAGATACGAAGAGGCAGACTCCCCAGGGTGGGCGACGGCTAGCGCATCACACTCTCCTCTCCTTAAAATCCCTGTGTGGTGGCGGCGTGGTGCCGTTCTCCCATCCCTCCCTTGGGTTGTGTGTTTTCTTTCTTTCTTTTTACGTCCCTTGGGTTGTCTGTTTTCTTTCTTTCTTTCTGCACGCCCGGCGAGGTGGCGGGGGCGAGGTAGCGGGCGGCCACTAGGCCCGGAGCCAGCGCACTGCCACCGCGTCCCGCAGCGTGACATCCACCAGGTTCTTGTATTCCAGTGCGATCTTGTTTTCCCAGCTGGACGTTCGCCCTTGGGTATGCACCAGCAGGCGATCGCTCATGACCTCCCACGGGGCCCACCCCTTGGCGTGGTACATGTCAACCCATCTCACTAGGCCCAGCCCGACAAGCCCCCTCGAGAAGACGACTCCCGGCCGCTCCCACACCACGCACCCCCCCCCGTCATCGGGTGCTCTCCATAGACGCCGATCCAGCGGCCAGCCGACTTGTGTGTACTTGTTACGTGAAAACCCGCTGGGACCCGGACGCCAGCAGCCCAAGCGATGGGGGACAAGCACAGACTAGCCGTCGTCCACGTCGTCCCTCGGGTCCCTGCTGCTCCTGATCTGTTCGTGATTTGGATACTTGTCGCCACGTCTCCGGACCATATCTTTTTCGTGGTGCGCCTGTGTCCCTTGGTATTGCTAAAAATATATCCCGACCGCCACTATCGGAAAAGCACACTGGCACGGCCCGCCGCCTGCCGCCCGTGATGCGGGTTATTAGAGAAACAGAACACCCAGAGAGCGCGCGCACGCACACAAACAAAACGAAAGGATGACGGGCCAATGGCCAATAAATAAGAAGTCCGTAAGGCCTCCAAAATTCTTTAACTTCAGGCGCCGTAATGTCGTCTTCTCCAGAGGCGTACAACACATACATGTCCCTCGGGGCGAGGAGCACCGCTGGCGTGATGAGCCGGCGCGCCGAGTACGGACGCGAAGAGCGGCGATGGCGGGGCGAGTCGCGACGGCGGTCGCGATCGCGTGAGCCGCGGGGCGACGAGCGTTGGCAAGGTGAGCAATGGCCGCACCATGACGGGCGGCAACACGAGCGGCGCGGCTACAACGACGCTTGGTGCGGAGGTCGCGAGCAGCGATGGCACGATGAGTCACAATGGCCCGATGAGCGCGAGCAACGGCCGCATCATGACGGGCGGCATGACGAGCGACGCGGCTACGATGAACGTCGGTGCAGAGGCGAGCGCGAGCGCGGCTGGCACGATCGGCGCGATCACGATCCCAGGCGCGACCGACGCGGCGAGGGGCAGCCTCGGCACAGCGATGGCCGGGTGGGACCGCCCATGCACGGAGTGCAAGGACGCGACGAGCAGCAGAGCCGTCGCGACGCACATGAGCGCCCCTCGTCTAGCGGCTCTGCTGCCGGTCAGCTCAACGCTAAGCAGCTCAGCAGCCACATCTCAAATGCTGGCAGCGCTGACGCATTGCTCGCGCTCTTTTCTGCCCACAGCGCGAACTTGAACCACATCCACGCTGCGAACCTGTGGAACAAACTGGGCAAGCAGCGCATCGAGCGGTGGCACGAGGAGCGGCTTGAGCAGCTGGTGCAGCGCACGCTTGACCTCGTCGCGTCATGCGAAGCACGCAATCTGGCGAACATCGCCCACGGCGTGGCAAAGTGCGGCCTGCAAGTAGGGGTTGTGCGTTCGCTGTACACGGCGGTGGCGGAGGCGGCGGTGCGCGGGGGGCTGGCTGGCTTCGACCCTCAGGCCCTAGCCAACACGGTGTGGGCGTATGCGACGGCGGGCGTGGCTGCAGACGCGCTGTACGAGGCGGTGGCGGAGGCGGCGGTGCGCAGCGGGCTGGCTGGCTTCATGCCTCAGAACGTGGTCAACACGGTGTGGGCGTATGCGACGGCGGGCGTGGCTGCGGACGCGCTGTACGCGGCGGTGGCGGAGGTGGCGGTGCGCGGCGGGCTGGCTGGCTTCAAGCCTCAGGACCTGGCCAACACGGTGTGGGCGTATGCGACGGCGGGCGTGGCTGCAGACGCGCTGTACGCGGCGGTGGCGGAGGCGGCGGTGCGCGGCGGGCTGGCTGGCTTCAAGCCTCAGAACCTGGCCAACACGATGTGGGCGTATGCGACGGCGGGCGTGGCTACGGACGCGCTGTACGCGGCGGTGGCGGAGGTGGCGGTGCGCGGCGGGCTGGCCGGCTTTACGCCTCAGAACCTGGCGAGCACAGTGTGGGCGTATGCGACGGCGGGCCATTACCACCAGGCATTGCTTGCCGAGTGCTCGCGCGTGATCAGCGACTCGCTCGCGCGGGATCCGTCGAGGTGGAGCGAGGAGGACCGCCGTCAGCTGCACCAGTGGCAGCTCTGGCTCTCCCTTGAGCGAGGAGCAGACGGGCAGCAGCACCTCCTCTCCGATTCACAGCGCCAGCTCTGTCGCGACGCCATGCAACACACGCAAGTGACGATATCGCGCTTGCAGCGCTCGGTTGCAGCTGCCCTCGCCTCCGTCCAGTCTGGCTTCGAGGAGGAGTATCTCGAGCCGCGCACCGGCTACTCGCTCGACCTGGCGCTGCCCTCGTCACGCGTCGCGGTCGAGGTGGATGGCCCCTCTCACTTCCTGCTGCCCGACGGCCGGGGCGTACGCAAACCCAATGGGCCAACGCTGCTCAAGCGGCGCCTCCTCACGGCGGCTGGCTGGAGGGTGATCAGCGTTCCATTCTACGAGTGGAACGGCTTTGCGACAGCCAATGGGCAGCAGACCTATCTGGAGAGGGCGGTCGCTCCGCTCTTGGGCTAGTACTGTGCACACTGGCTCCCGTAGGGCGGCTCCCGTGGTGTGCCTGTGTTAGTCGAGGTCCTCCGTGTTCCTTTTACCCATGTGTTAAATCCTTTTACCCGTGGTGTACCTTTATCCCCGTCCGCTCGTGCCTGCGAGCTGTGACCTGTGTCAGTGGCGCGGCTGGGTGCAGCGGCCGCGACAAGATGATGAGCCCCGGCGGCGCGGCACTCGAGGGGTGCCCTCTGCAGTGCAGTGCGCTTCAGAACGCGCAGGAGGGTAGAATCCTCCTCGAACTTTTTCCAAAAGCGGCGGTCCGCGTCGGCCGTGCCGCCGAGCTGGTCGCCGGCTCGGCGAGACATGCTATGCACGCCCGCGCGCGTGGCGGTTGGTGTTGGGTCTGTTAGGTCCGCGACGAGCTCCGCTGACAGCACCAGTTCCTTCACCTCCTCCCACCGCCGCAGCCACCGCCCGCCGCCCAGAGCCCACAGGAAACGGTAAGCGCCGAGCCATCGAGGGCGTACCAACTTGCTCACCCAGCCTATCACTATATCCAAACCCGCCCCGCCTCCCGATTTCGCTGTGCCGTCTTTCCGAGCCGAGCCGTCCTCCGCCACGCCTCGTCAATCCATCCGCCGATATCGCCGACCCGCACCTTATCAATCAACCCATCAATCACCCTATGCCAAGCCTAGATAATGCATACGAAGGACGACCAAACGACTGGGACACTAACGCGATGGGTGTGAGTGTGTTCTCGAGGTTCTCGAGGTGGATATCCTTTGGCCGCGTTGGGTAGCGAGGATTGGTGTGACGCGATCCACGCAGGCGTGGTTTCTGGCGGCCGACCGTCAGTGTGTGTACTCTGCTGGAGGAATGGTTGGGCAGGTTACTCAGGGCACGATCCCGGCGTGAACACGACTAACTGACGGATCCGCTCCTGACAGTCGCACGCGCCGCGCTGCGGGGCGTACGACTGTCTTTGTTTGAAGTAAAAAGTCGAATCAGAGCGGTGTCGGCGCTGCCCTGAGTTTTCCTCCCACGGACCGCCCGTCCGGGACCGCTCCGGGACGCACGCCGGCGAAGCACCATCAAGCTGCTGTACGGCCCCGGCATCGCCTCCCCTGGCTTAGCTAGACTGGGAGATATTGTGCACATGTTGATCTCTACAATATATACACTGACACACTTTACCTCCCAGAGCTCGTCCCGGTCCGCCACGGCCATCCTCGGCCTCCGAAGGGCCCCCGGCCGCGGGCCCGCGGCGCGGTGCGGCGGCGTCACAAATCCGACGGCAGAGCACCGGGACGCGGTCGGGCGATCTGAGGTCCGACTAGGCGTATGGATTGCCCACCCAGGGCTATCACCTGGACCCATCAACAGGCGCCTGCGGCGCCGTGGTCAGGAGGTGTTGTTCACACCTGCCCAACCATTCGTGCAGCACAGTCAGTATGTGTGTATGGGTGGACGCAAGACGGGCGGGGTGACGGTCACACAGGAGCGACACACAGAACCACAAGACATGTCTAAACAAATAAATAGAGCAGACATCTCCTGGAGAGATGGGTGACGCACAAACCCGAGGGACAGCGCGCACCCCGCTGCACTTGGAGCACTTGGAGTGCAGTTGGCAGCCTCACATCCAGGGCCGGGGAGCTAAGAAGCGCACCCAGCGGGCCGGATGATCGGGATCGGGTTGCGGGCAAGAGAGCCCTGGTAGGTAGAAAGGTGAAGAACAGCCAGGCTCGGACTGGACACCAACGCGGTATGGGTGGACGCAGGACGGATGATGACGACACGCACGAACGACACACAGACACAAACAAGCTCACAAGACACACAGAGCCCTAGACCGCCATTTTTCTTCTTTTTTTGAGAGCGCCTTCGTTGTTAATAGTACAAACCCAATGGTCCTCTGCGAGCGGTCCTTCGTTGCAGACGCACACACGCACACGCCGCGCCGCACCGCGCGCCCGCCCACCGCCCCGCCCAGGCGGGAAAGAGGTGGGGAGATGGGACAGCGAAGGAGGAGCACGAGCACGTATGGGAGGGTTCAGTAATGCGCCACGCTGCCCGGCGTTTCTCACTTTCCGGGACAGCCCCGCCCTTGTGAGGCAGGAAAGTGACGGCTACCCCGTACGCCCTGCAGCTTGCTACCCCGACGCCGACCGCCCATTCTCCCCTCCTCGTTCCCGCCTCGAACTCTCCGGACCCCGACAAGCCGCCCGACGTTGGGCCTCTGCCCCGCACGCTCCCGCCCCTCTGCCCCTCACACACACCCAGGCCCGACATGCACATACAAGACAAACCCGGCGTCCTGCTCTCAAAAGAAAAGAAAAAATGGGAAGGAGGAGACCAGCGGGGGAGACTCCCCGCCTATGCAACACCCCAGAGAGGGGCTGCCATCGCCGAAGCTGTGCCTAAGCATAACTCCCAAACCCGCAGCGGCCCGGGGGGCCTTGGGGGCAGCCTGCCGGACCGCTGTTGCACGGGGCCAAGCACCGGAAGATGAGTGGAATTGATGGATTGGGCTGTTGTCCGTGCCTCCCCTCTATACGTCAGAGTGAGACCTACGCCGCGCCGGGTAAGGAGCGCGCCCGGTCCTCGACGGAGCCGCGCGCCCCAAACGACCCAGGCGGCGAGTAGTCGTCCTCGAACCTTCGACTTGTAGTCGCCCGTGGTTAGCGCCCCTCCTCCCTCGCCCGTCCCTACTCGTACTGCTCTCGAGGCGCCCGCGGCATCTCGCCGCCCATCTTTGGCCACGCGTTGTAGTCGAAGATGGCGGCGTTGCGCCTCGCGACGATGGCCGAGTGCACTTGCAGGAAGCGCTTGCGCTCGCTACTGACCCGCCATCGTTCGCTGTCGGAGGACGCCTTAGCGGCCTTGATGTCGAAGTTGGTGTTGAACCACGTCGCCGCCTCGTGCCCGATGCCGCCGCGCGTGCTCGCCGCCCACGTCATAAAGTCGCAGTTTTTGGCGTCGCACGCCGCTGCCTTGGCCTTCCGCTTCGTCTCCTCGGCGTAGTCGGTGGCTAGGCGCTTGCCGCTCGCCAGCGGGCGCAGCTTGTCATGGTGCACCGCGGTGACGCACGTGCCGTCGTACACCACGGCGCGTGCCGACTCTGCATAGTTGCCGAAGACGCCGTCGCCCCGCTGGTACGGGTTGGTGTCCGGATCGTGCGCCCGCGTCGGGTCCCTGCAGCCGAGCCTCACTTCCATGACCTTTGCCGAGGCGCCGAAGGCGCGTGCGACGTTCGTGACGTGAGTGTTGAGGGATGCGTGCCCCGTGGCCAACCAGCCGCCGTAGTTGCATCCGTCCCAGTGCGTGCCGCTGCGGGAATCGTGTGTCCCCCGAGTAGTTAGGCCTGTGTCCTACCCAAAGCATGAAAGAGTTTGGGACAGCTGTGCACGGCGGCTGATGGCAAGCGCCGCCTTTGACCACGCAGAGCCGCCGCCTTTGACAACGAAGCCCGCCAATGCAGTCGCTCGTCGTCGAGTTCTCGCGGCGCGTGCGCGAGCCAGCACAAAATATGAGGGCGAGTGCAGGGGCCAGCCGCGCCACGCGCGGCCACGTGCACCTCCCAAGCCAACCGCCGCCTCCGCAGCACGACGGTGAGGCGAGCCTCGCAAACGACGCCGAGGGGGCAAAGGTAGCTCTCGCCGGGTGTGCCTCAGCGGCCGCGGGCGAGCAGGGCATGTGCGCGCCACGCGCCGCCGCTCGAGCCGGATCGTACGAGTCTCCCTCCCGCGGCTCGTTGCAGGAGAGCGGGTCGATCCGATGATGCTTGGTGAAGATGCTCGGTTGGCTCTCGCCAAATGTTTGTCCGACTCGACGTACGGCCCCGGGCGTCGGGCCGTGGCGGCGACGGCAGGCGTGCTCCAGCGCCGCCTCGTGCGCACGCCCGCGCAGCGGCGGCGCCTCTGCACCACCCGAGTCGCCGCCCGGCCGAGCGAGGAGCAGAGAGATGACGAGTGACATGCTGATTCGGCAATCAAGAATTTTTTTTCTTTTTTTGAGAGCCTTCGAGAAATGTCAAGCACTCCCTTTGCTGCCACTCATAAAATCGTTGGGTCGCTTCAGTTCACGAAGCGTGGGCCGACCCTCCGATTTTATGAGAAGAGAACAAAGGGAGTGAATATCAAGGCTATGTGTGAGACAGTGAGTATTCTTGCGAGGCACGATGCCGTCCGGCGCCTGGACACGCAGCAACTTCCCACCACGGAGGTTGGTGTGAGCGCGGGGGACGAGTGGGGGCGGGGGCTGCCAACGGAGAGGGCAGGCACGGCTCGGAGTCGGTGGACACGCGGGGAGGTCGCTGTTTTTTGCTGCCGCGGCCGCGCCGCGACCTCGCGTTTGTTTTGTTTGTTTTGTTTTGGCGCGGATGCAGCTGGCGCCGCCCCGCCGCCGCGGCGTCGGCGCCGCGATCTCCAGCAGCGAGCGGTGCAGGGCGGCTACCGACATGACAGTTGGCCACGGCGTCTGTTAAGCCCGGGCCCCGAAATCTCACAGTGGGGTGGTTCACAGCGATGTTTTTTCGGCGCGAAAACTTCGATGTCGGTGACCCAGTGCTGCGCCTGCCTGTTGCCGATCGAGAGCGGCGAGACGCACTCGCTTATCGGCTGCGCCGGCGGGCACAGAATCCATAAGGACTGCCTGCGCGACTGGCAGCGCACAGACTGCGCGCGCGGGCTGCGGTGCCGCGCGCGCTGCCTCTGACGCTGCGTTGAGCGGCGGCGGCCGGCAAGCTGTGCCGTGCCCGACGTGCTGCATAAACGAAAAGGGCTTCGGCCACCTGGCCATCGGCAGCGACGACGACGACGTCGACGACGATTACGGCGGCGGCGGCGGCGGCGGCGGCGGTAGCGGCGGCGGCGGCGGCGAGGAGGAGGAGGGGGAGGAGGGAGAGGAGGTGGGCGGCGAGGAGAAGCCCACGCGCCACGCCAAGGGAGGGATGGGAGGACGGCACGCCGCCACCACACATGGATTTTAAGGAGAGGAGTATGTATGTATGTAGGAAGGTG